GGACCACACCCATCCACTCCTTGTTCTTATTTCCTATCGTTCTGCGATGTGCGAACTCGTACATGTACACGGGAGCGACTTTGCTATGAATATCAGCAACCTCGTGACTTGGTGCAAAGTAAATGTAATCACCGATGAGGTCCAATAGTTGGCTTCTCAGTGCGTATTTGTCGTTTTTGTCAGGCCATGGTGTGTACATAAACTGCAAAGCCTCCGCGATAAGGTCGGCGTTGTCTTTTCTGAGACGTAAATAATTTGTTGTTAGTTATGTCATGTTTAACGAAAATGAAATCGGCTTCTTCACCGAGAAAGGTTTTGTTTTTGTGGGGTAGGTACCATATCATGTGGTTTAATTGATAACCAATCAAGCCAAAGATTTCTTAGGGATAAGGGACAGGAAGAACTTGAATAGAGAAGGAGGTTTTCTATTGATTGACTGATTGACTGATTGACTGACCGACACACTGACTGACATAACCGACCGACTAACCGACTGACTAACTGACTGACCGACTGACTGACTGACTGACTGACCGACCGACCGACCGACCGACCGACTGACTGACTGACTGACTGACTGACTGACTGACCGACTGACTGACTGACTCACTGACCGACTGACTGACTGACCGACCGACCGACTGACTGACTGACTGACTGACCGACTGACTGACTGACTGACTGACTGACTGACTGACTGACTGACTGCTACCTAAACTGGATCGATCGATAGACCAATCAGGTATCGGTAGATCAATAACCAGTCTTTAGGCATAAGCTCCTCCTGGAGGTTTACTGTTGTCCTCCCCCATACACCCGTTAGATTTCGACTTCTCCCTGCCACTTTAATTTTGTTTAAAACCGTGATTTATGATTGGTAAGATCATCTTCCCAAAACGTCACAAGGGTCCCCGGGAATACTCCGTTATACGGGCTAAATAGGTATGTGCCGCCGGCCCTAAAGAAAAGAGATTTTGACCATTTTGGTCTGAAACAGTGCATGTTTTTCCAGTCTCGCTTGGTATTGGATATTTTGCAAATTTGTAGCCTCCTCAAATGTTTATGCAAATAAAAGCCATTTCTGGTTAGTTATGGTCATATTAGAGCCGTGTACTAATTTTAGAGGTCTAAAACCCCGGGAGTCTAAAACGGGGTATCGATTTTTGGTTAGGAAAAATCACATGATTCAGGCCGCTCATCCCCACCAAAAACTTTGGGGAGTAGGGGCAAGGGCTTAACCAAAAGCACACTGTCACTCACCTGCTGTTCCGGGCGCGGACAAGCTTTGTTAAAAATTCCTCGAAAAATGACGGACTCACTCCATCGTCCACACTTTCCGCCATCCCAAAAGACGAGTTCGCCATGAATCCAAGAGTTGTCCCTCCCTCCTGACTGTTAAAACTGATCATCAACTTCACTTTCTTAAAATCTCCTTTATTTCGTAAATTCTGAGGCGTATCGAGAAGAAAATTCTTGTCTACCACTGGCGCCCAGCGCAAATATTCATAGAACTGATAAGTTATCGAGTTGGAAGCATTCTGTATTTCCTCGCCTTTCTTACTGCGTATACAGGCAACCATTGCGCTGTGGTCGCTTGTAGTACAATCCAAGTTTTGAGCAAGCTCTTTAGCAAAACGGAGTCCAAAGGAAACCGGCTGAATTGCAAAGGGGCTCAAATCCACACCACTCTCTGCAATGGCTTGTTGAAAGAGACCCTTAGATAGAGGCGACA